TGATTTGCAGTATGTTTATTGAAGTGATCTTCTCAAAATGTATTTTAAATGCATGGTTGCTAAGTTGAATAAGTGTTTAAAAGTATAACTAACTTGTTATTTAAGTAAGTTACCTTGCATTGAGCTATGTTTGAGAGTGCACTATTTTGTTAAATTCCTTGTGTTTGCACTGCTTTGTGAAACCTTGAATGTATTGTTACTGTTTAATTAAGTTAATTACATAAAGCATACAGACATATGCATTTACAAATGAACAGAAGAATTCCTGTGCAGAAACACTATTAACAAATAATTAGTTATAAAAGAGAAATAATCAGTTACTTTTGATATTGAGTAAATGTTCCAAATCACATTAACAACCCTATTTAACAAGAGCATGTTTCATCTTCTCTTGGTTTTACCACCACACTAGGGCACATGTTCACCAAAATGTAGCACACCTTCACAATCTGGTCAAGAAGGGTCATCTCTTCGCCCCACACATGGTAGTAGTAATCTGATTGGTACTGTGGTATGTAGCATTTTGCACTTGTTGCGCATGGTTCCGATAACTCTCAACGTGTATCCGGAGGTGGGCAATAGCTCGTGTGTCTTCAACGTCCTTGGCATCAAGTTGACAGCGGCCTTTTGTGAATGAGGTGATCTTAACCTCAGCACACATCATTCCCACAGAATCTCTGATGTCAAAGCCTCTGTCAGCTAGCACTACATCGCCCGGTAACAATTTGTTGAGAAGGCCACATTTCTCTGTGACATGTTTGTCTTTGGGGCGACAGTAGCTCAGTTGGTAGAGCATTGGCCTTTGAGCCTGAAGGTCGTGGGTTCAAGCCCACCGTAAGACCTACTTCACGACTCCCACTGATGACTGCTGTCGTTGTGTCCTTAGGCAAGACACTTAACCCCACTTTGCCTGAAGCCCCCACTGAAAGATCTCAGCTCCTGTGGACTCACCACCTGCAGGAGGATCAGTGAGAGGCTGGTGCTCTGTGAACTGGGTGCAGCTCTGGCCACCCCCCCGACCCAGAAATGGATTAAGGGGAAGAAAATGGATGGATGGATGTATGTTTGTCTGATGTACGCCTCCCCCATCCCTTGGAAATGAATGAAATTGAACCCTGTGGTGTGATCGCAATAAGACATTTCATGGTGTGTGTACCTTTATAGTGAGAGTATGTTTGTGCACGTGCTTTTAAATTTGATGGTCTCTCTGTACGAATCTCAAAACAGTCAATAATGATGGCTACCCGTTTTCCAAAAGTCTCAACAAACTGAGATGGCATAGTGGCTTGTTGACACTGCCTCTCGGGCCAGTGCACCAGGGGTCCTAAGCGAGCATGTAAAACTTCTATTGTGTCAGTAAAGGCAGATGACAGAGTTTTGTCAGATACATTGAAAAGAGATCAAGTCTCAGACGCATGAGTGTCAGTAGAAGCATTTGGAATTGTGTCAGTTTCTTTGTTGCAGGAAGGAAAGTTTTCACATAGGCAGCACAGTGGCTGAGTGGATAGCACTCTCGCCTCTCAGCAAGAAGGTCCTGGGTTCGAGACCCGGTTGGACCAGGGCCTTTCTGAGTGGAGTTTGCATGTTCTCCCGGTGTCTGCGTAGGTTTCCTCCGGGTGCTCCGGTTTCCCCTACCACTAAAAATATGTACAATAGGTCTGGCATGTGCCTCCTGTACTGGCACCCCCGCTCCCAAAAAATAACAATTGTAAACCGCTTTGAGACTCCAATGTGCAGTGAAAAGGCGGTATATAAATAAAGATTACTTACTAGATTACTTACATAGTTGAACAAGGCAAAACAAGGAAGTTCAGTATAAAATTTAACTTTTTCTGTGTTGTCCTTTACAAAATGTATATCCAGTTCTCTCTTTGTAACCTCTGACCTGAGCCTTCTGTTCTCTTTCAACAATCTATTTATTTCTGAGTCACAGGACTCACATTCTGTCTTCTTTGTTTTAGCTTCTGAGTGTCCATCTGTCAGAATGTCATTGCATACTTCTTCAGTAGTTTGAACTGGCTCAAGACATCCCTCGGGCTCCATCACATTATTCTGGTGTCCTTCAATGATGTCCATCCCTGCCACCTCTTCAATTTTGGCTACGGCCTCCCCTTCAGGTTCTGCTGCTCCAAACGGAATGCCTGATTAAGAGAATTAGACTTAGACTTTATTGATTCACAAGAGAAATTGCGTTGTCACAGTAGTTTGCATAGTATATAATAAGATAATAATAGGAGATATTTGATGTAAAATTCAGGAGATGTACTGTATAGGAGAAATATAAAATTATGAATGAAACTTATAACAACTTTTCTCTACCAAGACTAATGCGGGTAGCAATCTGAAAAGTTGAGTTATTACTTTATTTTTTTTTAAGAAATATGCAAGAAAAAAATGCCTACACCCTTATCAAAATAAGTGCCTTTATATCAAGGAATGATGAAAGTGAACATGTCATTTAGTACATAGGAGGTAATAACGCGACAGAAACACCACGTTATTCATTTATGTTGCATTTTCCTCTCATTTCTTCTCCTCTTTTCTTTCTTTTAAGTGTCCGTTCATAACGGTCTGATTGTGATGCACTAACTTCAGAGTGTCCCAGATGCAGTGTTGGAGCCCAGTCAGGATTTGTTTCATCCATTTCATACGCTGGTTTACCTGGAACATGCAAACAGAATTACCATAATAACTAAACACAGTAAAAAACAATGTGGCACAGTGATGTTGAAAAATGTAAAGCTAGAGCATCATTTAAGCTACGCTAAGGAGATGGTTCTTCATTGATAATCAAAGGGAAGCAAACGTTGAAAGCAGAATTTTATGTTTAAAGGTCGACAAAAAAGTAAATAAAGTGGCAATTGTTTACCATGCATAAATAGCCGGTACTTTATTCCCTTACAAAGGAGATGACGTTCAAAACTAACCCGGGACTGAACGTAACAATCATGTATTAGAAAAACAACAGTTAGAACTTACCAGATATAAAATGTCTGGAACACACCAGCAGATGTTTGGGGGTGACGGAGGAGAAATTGAGATCAGCTCGTCTCACTGCTGCTAACCAAGCTAGCCGTCTTCTTTTGCTCACATCAGATACCTGGTCTCCCTCATGTTTCTTCCACACAGGTACAACATAAAAAGAGAGCCCATGCTTTATCCTATTACCTTTTCAGTCGTGCGACCTTACATTGCAGCCAAATATGCAACACTCTTCTTCTTCTTCTTCTTCTTCGCCTTTGGACCTATGTTACAGTCTAGTTATCATTTTTGTTGAAGTTAGAAAATAAAATAATGCCTTCTCTTGATTAAACCCCTCACCCAAAATACCCTCCATGCTCCACTCCTGCCCTGCTTCTATCACTGAGCCCTTAAAAGCATCCCTTTGCACACTGTACTTCTCACATGCTCAACTGTTTCACTTACATCACACATTTCACACTTATCTGTGTCGGACTTATTATTCTAAATAACGTCGAGTTCAGGCCTGTATGTCCTAGCCTTAGTGCTTAGTCATATACCATACAACCGTAGTCCAAGGTAGACCTCATGATAGCTCTGAACATCTTTAATAAAAGAATTCTGTCCGCACCCCATTGGGGGCCTGATATACATTTTAATAAATTCACAGTCTTCTTGCATTTTGTCTCTGTGTTCTCTACATGTTTACATCAGCAAATCTTCTCATCAAACCACATCCCCAGATACTTGAAATAGGTTACTTTTTCCATCGGACAATTGTACAGATGAAGAGCTGGAAAACACGCAGTCATTTCCTACTGATTACCATGTAACACAATTTTTCAATTGAAATCTTAAACCCCCACTCATATGACCATTTTTCCACTGCACAAATAACTTTTTGCATACTGTACATTTAAATACATGTTTAATATTCTTACCCCTTTTCCACACTGCTCCATCATCTGCATATAGTGAAGACTGAATGCCATCTCCAATCGCGTCAAAGATATCATTAATCATCAAGTTGAACATAACTGGGCTTACCACACTACCTTGTGGAATTCCATTAACAATGTCCAAACTCTTAGATATAGCACCGCCCACTTTGACTTGGAATTTTTGTTCAGATAAAAAACTTTTCATCCAATTGAACACTTTCCCTCCAAGACCCATTCTACTCATTTTAATGAGCAGACCCTCTCTCCACATTGAATCATAAGCCTTCTCAATATCAAAGAAGACAATGACAAATACCTCTTTCATTTTCAGAGCCTTTTCTATTTCATTGCTGACTTTAATCAAAGCATCTGCCGTTGATCTGCCCTTTCTGAAACCATGTTGATATTTACTGAACAGATTATTCTTCTCTAGATAATAGGACATTCTTGTAACAATCATTTTTTCCATCCAAGTGAGACGTCAGGGCAATTGGTCTATAATTCTTGGCACTATTTGCATCTTTCCCAGGTTTAGCAAAGGGTAAGATAACTGCAGTTTTCCAACTTTCTGGTAATGTACCCTTGTCCCAGATTTTATTAAAACATTCCAGCACAATTTTTAAGGCTTCATTGGGAAGGTTTCTGAACATAATATAACTAAGCTGGTCACTCCCTGGAGCTGAATTCTTACTATACCTTGCAGCTCACCTTTAAGTTCTGCCATAGTAAAATCTACATCCATAAGTTAAATTCACTCTTCCTCCTTACTTCACTTTCAAACTCATTGAGCATCTCACATTTCCTCTGTCTATGCATATCAGTCAAGTCTGGCCCAAACTTTGCCTGGCCTGCCAGACACTCCTCCTTTCTGTTCAAAAGAACAGTCTTTGAAAAAGCATATCGTTTGGCAGGCCAGGCAAGCCCAAACTAACAGGCCAAACGTGTTTTCAATAAAAAAACAAAAAACAAACAAAACGTAGGTGTAGACCAATCAGAAGGCACTTGGAGAGGGCGGGCAGAAAGGGGGTGGACCTAAGGAAAGGGACAATGTGCATGAGATTTTATTTTCAGCAGCCGAAGAAATTATGTGGTCTCAACATGGATTTATTTATAATATTGTCTTTAGCATACGGTAAGTTTTACGATCATCTATGTACTTGTTATTGGGGTAGGTTTGAAGGGGGGTCGGCACCAGGCCCGTCCCAAGGGGGGTGCGAGGCCCTGTGCGAACTCGAAACGCGAGGCCCTGCCCTGACACTTTTTTCCCAGATCTGAGGAAAGTTTTTCCTGTTATAATCTTTGACATGAATTCAGCACCACCTCGCGCGGTGCGTGAAGAGATCAGCACGCGTGTAACCGAGTGTCTTCGCTCCTATGCAGCGTTTGGCGCGCGCACGTACACACGCACACACACTCTACGTGCAATATTGGTCGCGGTCTTTTTAGCTGACATGTCTCTTTCGTCCTGTGGCAAAATGGCAGAGCAACTCAAAAGATTGAACCAAAAGGAGTCTTTTTCTTCTAATAGTTAGATTTGGGCAAAATGCGCCAAAATGGCTATGAGGCGGAGTCAATATTATTATTTTCTCATCAAATAACGTTTTTGCCATGCCTCCACACACTCTGACAACATACACTCCTCCTCCTCCACACTGACAACAACAAAATACTCTTCACCTCCTCCTCCACACACTCTGACCACAACAAAAACACTCCAGCTAGCTAAAGCTAGACATACAGTGTGTTTGCTAATGCTTTTAAAAATATGTTTTTGATGTGGATATTCGGACTAAACATTGGCAATAGCAGCGCTCACACACCTGTCACACCGCTGATCCTCCTCCTCCTCCTCTGCTCCACACAAAGGGGTCTGCTCCTCTGCTCACACCTGTCTCACTGCTCCTCCGCGAGTATCCATCTCTCCTACACTGCGATCATTCCCGTTACTTTCTTTGTATCTCACTCAGACACTGCTAAAGTTATCTGACAGTTTTTTCGGAGGACCCGTTGCATACATAGCTGCCCGCGCGCCTGCCTGTTTACAAATCGCTTTTGGTGAAAATTTGACTTTACTTGTAAAAATGTTCTTTTGATCAAACGAAATCAAAGAGGTCCAGAGAAAGGGGTTTAGGGTTCCAAATTTGGAGTGCAGTCTGCCCTTTGGGGACCCTTGAACTAGTGTATTTATAAAATAAAATAAAAGGAAGGAAGATTGCGAGGCCCCTGTGTGGTGCGAGGCCCTGTGCGACGGCACAGGTCGCACAGCCCTTAGGACGGGCCTGGTCGGCACTAGATCATATACGGCAGCCATTCCCAAACTCAGTAACACCGAGGCCCCCTTAAAAATCTGACGGGTCTGCGTGGCCCCCCAAAATAATAACCAAGAAGACAACATTAAGAATAGGCTCTTCCGGTTATTTTATTTTGGGGAAATAGCCTCTGCTACAAACATTGTAATACAAAAATGATTACAGTGGATTATTCAAGTCAAATAATGAACACAAATATTTTAATATTACAAACAAAACATTATAAATTTAACATTAAATAATTATGTTATTTTTTTAATTTTTTTTATGACCTCCCGCGGCCCCCCTGCAGTACCCTCGCGGCCCACCAGGGGGCCGCGGACCCCACTTTGGGAGACACTGATATACGGAATCGGGACGAAACCGAAAGTAACAATACTACTTTCGAATTAGTTTTAGACTAAAAAGTGAAGTCCTTAAGTGGTGACTGGTTAAGTTTTAGGCGTCTGAGTAAGATGGTTAAGGTTAGGGTTAAGGGTGGGTTTGGGTTATTTTATGGGAATGGCTGGTTAAGTTTAGGCATGAATAGTTAGTTTGTTATATTTACTTCCGCTTCCGTCCCGATTCCGTATATGATCTAGTGCTGACCCTGTCTCCCCCAACTTCGTATGAGCTGTGGTTCCCCCATTTCATAACGATCGCGAGGCAGAACAACTGAAACTGATTCAGCAATTAAATAAAAAGATCAACAACGTACAGACATTCTCATCACTCTGAAAGTTTGATATATTATAAAGAATATAAAAAAGTATTTCTAATCTTTTCACATTATATTGACTCATGTTGAGTATTTTACTGTTTTTATTACATTAACATCGTTTTTACGTAGTGTTTTACTTCTATCTATGTATTTATTTTAAACATAAAGCTGGCAAACCTGTATATTTAAATGTGTTACTTTTATCTCTGTGCATCTCTTTGGAAACCTGTTTTTATAAAATGTACTTTATAAATAATAAATAATATATAAATAGTGGATTGGAACAACACTGAGCTAAATTATAGAACCATTTGTCACTTGTTTAAATGCTGCTAAATGAGTGATGTCATTTTTAGTGGAAGTTTCAATTCTCACAAAAGTTATCTCTAAACAAAAAACAAGATACCAAACGTTTGTATCCAGGTCCAGGGCTCACTGTGGTCAGTTTTTAATGTATGTGTTAAAAAGGAATAGTTATATTGTATTGTATTGAGTGTTTTCTCAAAGTGTTTTTATATATTTTGATGTTTTCACAGTTTTGGTCCAATGTGATGGAGACGTGAGAGTTAATCTAACAGCTGTTGTGGGACGATCCGTCACTTTTCCAGACTCTGTGAAGGAGATAGGATATATTTCATTTGGACCAAAAATTATTGCTGCTGTTTCTAATGGTGCATTTGAGATTGATGAAGACATTTACACAAACAGACTTCACTGGAACAAAAGCACTGGACTCTTCACTCTCTCAGATCTGCAGAAAAGTCATTCTGGAGTTTATTCCATCAAATCCAAAAAAGGGAATGTGTTTTCAAAAGATTATGACCTCAAAGTGTTTGGTGAGTACAATTATTCTTAAATCTGTGTCTGTTCAGACTTGTACCAGCTCTGACTTTTACTTTGATCTTTTTCTTGTTTCATTTGAAAAGAGTCAAACCTAAAGTACTAAAGTTAAACTGTTGATGTTTGTGTATTTTCAAGGTTTTCTGAAGTGTTAATAATATTCTGCTCTTTTGTATTGTTGTTGTGGTGAACCCTGTAATTTCTGCCTAATGATAGAAAATATTCTTACCATAGCTTTCATTTTGACAACTCAGAACAGGGTCTTTGAGTCGAGTTTGCATGTTCTCCTCACGTTTGTGTAGGTTTCCTCCGGGTGCAGCAGTTTCCCCTACCGTTAAAAAAACAGGTAAAAAATAGGTACAAATCTCAAGCTGAGCATCAACCGTCAGACATGATTGTTGATTGAAGCAACTCAAAAAACAGAAATAAAAATCCACCCGACGCAGACGAACGGGTGAAAAATCAAAGCACAGCATGACCAGAGCTCACTGCAATCATTTTTTGCATTAATTTATCACTTACAATCGTGTGGAAATTAACTAATGGATTCATTTCAATCAAAATGTTTTTTTTTTCACTTTTCTGTCTGAAAAAAACGGATCTAAAGATGTGACGTAAATACATGCTCCTGAAAACTACTACAAAAACCAAATAATTTTGCGAGAGGACACATTCTGATTTAATCTGAGGCTAATTAGATCATTATTGATCCTGTAGGAGACATTCAGCTCCAGCTGCAGAAACACATCCATCCAAACAAAAGTTATTAACAAAAGTAAAGCAGCAGCACTTTAGGTCACAGCAGCAGAGGTGGAGGGGCCGCTTGGTTCAGACCATTTTCTCTGGTTCAGAGTGAAATGCTGAAGCTGTCATGTAGGTGAAAAACAAGGAGACCCAAAAGGATGGATTTAACAAAAGTAATACAAATCATCAAGCTCTAAAACAGACGAGGAATGACAGAACAGAGTGAAGGAACACACAGGGCTAAATACAAGACTAACGAGACACAGGTGATACACATGAGGGCGGGGCAGGAGGGACAGGCAGGTAATCAAACAGGAAGTACAAGACACGGAGAGTAACACATTTCAAAATAAACCTAAACCGTGACAGAATGCTTCATTAATGTTAAATAAAAAAGAGAATAGCATTCCTCCTGTGGATCCGCTCTGCAAGAAAATAACAATTGTAAAACACAAAACAACTGTTTCAGAGCTACTTCGGACTTTCTGATACTTATTTTAATTTGTGCATTATTTTTTATAATATCTGCATCTTTTAACATGATTAAAAACATTACACCAGGTTTTAAAACATTATTTAATAATTCAAGTGTTAGGTTTGACAATTAATGAAAATGCAATTAACTTTAATTTATTATTTTAAGATAAGTACCCAGTGATAGTTCAGGTGATAGAGCACTGGAGCCGAATGCCTAAAGATTCTGAGAGTCCTCTCCGATTACTCCTAACTTAACCTAAAAACTCCTGACTAGGAGTCTTTGCATAAAAGTTATTCCAGAACATTCTCAGAACTCTGAGCAAGGAATGAACAAAAACTCCTATCTTAGTGAGGAGGCATGCTAGGCTGCTTGGTACGAGTCATAATTTCAGAAGCTGTGATTGGTTGATCCTAAAAGTCAGAGAAGACATACTTTTGGTGATTATGGGCAAAATAAGGGCCCTCAAACGGACAAACTTATTTAATGGAATCTAATCTTAGGAACACTGTCATTGTAAATAATATTCAGCATAAATAGTAGAGATAGACAGATACATAGACAGATGATAGATATGTCAATGTAAAATGAATTATGTGAAAAGTAAGTTATACTTTTAAATTATCACACAGAATGTGTGAAAACTTGTGTGTTCGCCGATGCAGAAATACCGTTTGATAATACAAAAAACCGTATGGCGCACCTCCGTGAACACATACTACTGTTGTATAAAGCCCGTGGAAAGTCTGTGAGCAAAGACACGCTGCAAAGCTGCATATTGGAGAAGATCTGTACACAAGAAGCCGCTAGCATAGCTCTGTTAGCATTAGAGCCGGCCGGCTATGGGGTGCCGATTGTAAAAATTCTGTTAAAATTTTTTAGCTGAACATTTTTCTACATTTAGCTCACTTTCCTCACATTTAGCACATTTTCCTCACATTTAAGACATATCTATATCTAAATATTATATCTATATCTAAATGTTAAATGTTATATCTAAATATTATATCTATATCTAAATGTTATATCTATATCTAAATGTTATATCTATATCTAAATGTTATATCTATATCTAAATGTTAAATCTAAATGTTAAATCTAAATGTTAAATCTAAATGTTAAATCTAAATGTTAAATCTAAATGTTATATCTATATCTAAATGTTATATCTATATCTAAATGTTATATCTATATCTAAATATTATATCTATATCTAAATGTTAAATGTTATATCTAAATATTATATCTATATCTAAATGTTATATCTATATCTAAATGTTAAATCTAAATGTTAAATCTAAATGTTAAATCTAAATGTTAAATCTAAATGTTAAATCTAAATGTTAAATCTAAATGTTAAATCTAAATGTTAAATCTAAATGTGTCGCCAAGTGTAAAGCTAAATATATAGAAACCACGCCCACTGCAGTGGCTTCAAATCCAGTGGGCCCGCCTTCCATGCCGTGTGGTGAGAACCCTACAGGATTACACAGGAATCTCACGGGACTCCACGTGGCTTAGTTTACAGTGAATACACTCTGGCTCCAGCAAATAAGCAAGAATCTTCACAAAAATGCTAATTTTGTGCCGTGGCCAAGGACGATGGCGCCGGAGACCCAACAGGCCTTGAGCCGTGACGTCGGTCCAGGTGTATTCCTATGTTCAAAACACGCGGCACCGCCCCCACTCACCACACGGCACGGAAGGCGGGCCCACTGGATTTGAAGCCACTGCAGTGGGCGTGGTTTCTATATATTTAGCTTTACACTTGGCGACACATTTAGATTTAACATTTAGATTTAACATTTAGATTTAACATTTAGATTTAACATTTAGATATAGATATAACATTTAGATATAGATATAATATTTAGATATAACATTTAACATTTAGATATAGATATAATATTTAGATATAGATATAACATTTAGATATAGATATAACATTTAGATATAGATATAACATTTAGATTTAACATTTAGATTTAACATTTAGATTTAACATTTAGATTTAACATTTAGATATAGATATAACATTTAGATATAGATATAACATTTAGATATAGATATAATATTTAGATATAACATTTAACATTTAGATATAGATATAATATTTAGATATAGATATGTCTTAAATGTGAGGAAAGTGAGCTAAATGTAGAAAAATGTTCAGCTAAAAAATTTTAACAGAATTTTTACAATCGGCACCCCATAGCCGGCTACTACCGGCACTTCTGGTGCGCGTCAGGACATCTCGGTGTGAAGCCCCGTGCGTCTGAAAACTAGAGAATGCCCGTCTGGTGAGCGGGGCTTCAGCGTTTCAGCCTTGGCGCATTCTTGAGCTAGGATTCTTTAGGAATAGCTTTTTTTTTAAACTAGGATCTACTCTTCACTTTTAGGGGAAATTCTAAGAGTAGATCAAGATTCTAAGAATATTCTTAGAATTTGGCCACTAGGATCAATCTCCTTAACACTAAGAATCTTTATCAATACTTGGAACAAACATGTTTTCTATAATGACTAATTTTGTTGAATGTTGTCAAAAGTATGTTGTATAATTATTATAACAGGATGTATTCCCTTTAACATCTGTAACAACTTGCAGTCTTTAGTGGATGAGGTTTTTCATCCTCTCTGATATTTAATCTGTCCGTTCTCGTCGGGTTCCTCTAAATTCCAGGGCTAACTTTCATGAACTGCATGTTTTAGATCTCTTCAGATCAAATCGATCATGTTATAATTTAAAAATAGAATTTGTCTCTCCGTCGTTGTTGACTTCCGCTGCAGCAGTTTCCAGTTTTAAACCGAGGCAAACATGCAGCGACCAAGCCCCGGCGATTCAAGATGGCGCCCTATTCAAATGAATGGTTGTGCTCAGTGGCGCTTTGTGACGGCATGGGGGCTGAAAAGATTAGCGGAAGTTGCCTGAAACTCGCAAAGATCTATGGGAAACTCGCAAAGAACTTTGGGAAACTCGCAAAGATCTATGGGAAACTCGCCTGTATTTGGGCATCGTCTGGTCCTCCCGGTTCTGTGCAGTGGATGATCTCCCATAATGCGTTGCGCCAAACACGCGTGTGTGGGTCTCACACCGGGTCTCACGCACGTGCACAGAGGGGCTCGGCCGCGCTCTGACCAATCAGAGCAGTTCATCAGAGCGGGAGTTAGAGCGAGAGCCAGAGGAGCAGAGTTTGTGGCACTAAAGTGTGGATTTAAACAAAGCCGAAGGATTTAAGAAAAAAAAAAAGTTCAGGATGACAAGGGACACTAAAATCTCCACAAAATCTGATCTTTATTAAAGCTGTAGGTTCTCTGTCAGCTGAGGTTGAGCTGTTTTAATATGCATTGAGTTCTATGGGGAGAATTTCTGGGTAGCCCACGTGAATTTAGTCTGGTTCAGTCTGCAGTACCGCGAGAATCCCCTGAGCACATGAGTTATTCAGCTACAAGCTAGTAATACCCTATCCAGTTAATATAATAGATCCATGGCAGCGACTCATCCCATGATTGTGAAATAAACTCTTCCTCATGTGTGTGTTTGTTGTGTGTTTATTGTGTGTTTGTTGTGTGTTACAGAGGAGGTGTCTGTTCCAGTCGTGTCCTGTGTGAACGTGAGCTCTGACAGTGTCACTCTGCAGTGTTCAGTGAATCACACAGAGCAGACCACACTGAGCTGGTTCAGAGGAGGTCAGTCTGTGGTCAGCAGCAGCTCTGCAGTGCTGCCCCTCACTGTCCAACAGAGGAACTACACCCACCAGTACAAATGTGTGTCTCAGAACCCTGTGGGGGAGGAGACTGTTACAGTGAATAGAACAACAGTCTGTGGACTCAATGATAAACAAGCTGGGATAAAAAGATGTAAGTATTTAAATTTGATGAAAGTTTTATATACAATTATAATTGTATATAATATAATATATAATATAACACAAGTTGACAGCCAAAAAATGGTCAGGGGTTTCTCAACTGATTTAGACTAATGTTGGTGTTCTGAGTTCGAATATTACATGCATTTTGCTCTATCAGGTCAACTTTTTGAGATACAGCCATAGTGTTACGGATTACGTACGTCTACGTTATTATGAATTCTGCTTATCAAATTTGATGGAGTAAATAAAAACTGAATGACTTTGGAAACGTAAACTTTTATTTCTTGAGGAAAACGGAAAAAACGTCAAGGGTTTCTCAGCTGATGATCCGCTGAAATTTTTTACGCAAAATCAATAAAAAAAAAAAAATTCTGTAGCAAAAAATCCTGACCTGATTGAGCAAAACCAAGGTTATTTTCGGACTCAGCATCAAAATGAGTCTAATTCAGCTGGAAAACCCTGGACTATTTAAAAAAAATAATTTTTTGTTACCCAGTGTAATATATAAATAAATATGAAAATAATTGACTTGTCATTATAGCTATCATCATCATTATAATCGCCCCAATCGTCGTTGTCGTCATAATCCTTATCTTGTGTATTGTGAAGGGGAAGAACCACCATTATTCCAATCTCAAGGCAAGTACTGTGTTTATAGCTTACTTATTAACTTATCAAGGCAAGGCAAGGCAAGTTTATTTGTATAGCACAATTCATACACAAGGCAACTCAAAGTGCTGAACAAAACAAGAAAGCATTAAAATCATAAATAATCACAGAACATTAAAAAGAAAGATAAAAATATACAATCCCTCAGTTGTATGCACAGCTAAACAGAACTGTCTTTAACCTGGTTTTAAACATTGTCAGAGAGGAGGCCTGTCTCACATCTTCAGGAAGATTGTTCCAGATTTTAGCAGCATGAATCTGAAAAGTAGCCTCCCCATGTTTAGTTCTGACTCTGGGCACTAACAGGAGTCCAGTCCCTGTGCTCCTCAGAGTCCGGGCTGGTTCATATGGGACTAACATGTCACTAATATATTTTGGTGCGAGGCCATGGAGAGACTTGTACACAAGCAGAGCTGTTTTAAAGTCTATTCTCTGAGCCACAGGAAGCCAGTGCAGAGACCTGAGGACTGGACTAATGTGGTCGTACTTCCTGGTTCTAGTCAGGACTCGAGCTGCTGCATTTTGAATGTACTGCAGCTGTTTTACAGCCTGTTTGGACAGACCTGTGAGCAGGCCATTGCAGTAGTCTAACCTACTGGAGACAAATGCATGGATAAGAATCTCCAAGTCTGCTTTAGACACTATGTTTTTGATCCTGGCAATGTTTTTTAGATGGTAAAAAGCTGCTGATGTTACTGATTTGATGTGGCTATTAAAATGTAAGTCTGAGTCCAGTATTACCCCTAGATTTCTAGGGGTAATAGGGAGAGAGACTGTAGGTGACAGATGACGCTCTCTCTTTGTTTCTGGGGACCAAAGACAATCATTTCAGTTTTGTCTGCGTTTAGCTGAAGGAAGTTGTTTTGCATCCACTCACTGATCTGTTGGATACAGTGAAGGAGTGAGTCCACTGGTCCATGTTCTCCTGCAGTCAGTGAGACATAGATCTGAGTGTCGTCTGCATAGTTGTGATAGGACAATTTGTTTTTGTATCAACCCCTTAAAGCTGGGGGACCTGACTTTGTCCCAACAGAAAAAGTCTTGTCTTGATTTGTTCACAAATATTGTGAACAAATCAGACCACATCAGTCTAGAGTTGGGGGATTGTGTCCCCTGTAACATATATGTCTGGGGTTTGGTTGTAGACAGTGTTTTATTAAGCCAGCAGGTGGCAGCAGAACTCTGTGGATCTTGGTCAAAGATTACTGCCTGAGTGCCATGAGCAAGAGAGACGTGAAGGTGGCCTGAAGGAATATAGTCAGGGACAGGCTTCATTTGGAGCCAGTTTGAGCAGATAATGTGTCTTTAGAGCTGACAGAGACAAAGTCACAGGAAAGTGGACTATCATTAAGACCATCACTGAGCCCACACCAGGAGGCACTCCGGTAATCGTCACTGTTATTAATACATTTCTGGGTCGGGGGGTGGCAATCAGAGCTGCCACCCAAGTCTCATAGCACTACTCCTCGCTGATCCTCTTGCAGGTGGTGGGTCCACAGTATGATGGCTTCTCCGTCATGGTCTTCCATGGCCTTTGTTTTTTCAGTTGGGCTTCAGGCAATGTGGGGTCAAGCGTCTCGCCCAGGGACATAAGGACAGCAGACATCAAAGGGAGCAGATGAGGTGGGTCGTGGTGAAATTGAACCCACGGCCATTAGGTCCAAAGACCAGAGCTCTACCAACTGAGCTACTGTCGCCCCACAGTGCTCACTGCGCTAAACAAAATGACACTCTGTAGATGCAACCACACAAACACACAAATTTACATGCACACATGTGCGCACAATGTGTTGTGGTAATAGGATTGTAGGAGACATTTGTGCTTTGAACATATTCACTGCTGGGAAATACACATACGTAAACACGTATGGGGGAGACCTACACATATGAGACACACAACACTGTAAAAGCAAATACAAACGGAACCTGGTCTTTCTAAGTGGAGTTTGCATGTTTGTGTCTGCGTAGGTTTCTCCTACCACTAAAAACATGTACAATAGGGAAAAATCCTCCATATCCTGACCTGGCCAAGCCTCAACAGCAGATGGTCCCTGGGTGTTGTACTATGGCGACCTCTGCTCATGCTTAAGGCCTTTCAGTATGTAATCTGGAAGTTTGTGATGTGTTTTTTTTCTAATCATATGCCAATTGTCTTTGATGTACCTTTCTTGTGCAATGTAAAACTGTGCACTCCAGCACGCCATTGTTGGGTAATTAACTCAGCCACTGCCCGTCAGTATTCTGCTGCCTTTGATCTGTCTCAAATGGCCGTATATTCTGGCTTAGACTTAGACTGGCCATAGCCATCCGTACACTCCACTCAATCATCATTTCACTGCGTCGGTCTGTGTGTGGTCCCTGTGTTAGCGAATACAATCGGTCGTATTTCGACCGGCTACTCGGAGTAGTAGTTTGGCAATGGCGAAGAATGCGATAGTAAAGTAATCCGGTCTGGTTCTATCAAGAAATTGAAGCAGGAGCAAGAGGAATGTCTAGCAAATGTAATCGCTGGTGGCAAGAGCTCTGGTGTGTGTCTGGTGCACACCGGGGTAGTCTTGCACAGTTTTTCCTATGTGGTTCTACTGCAAATGGCAAATAAATGCATCTGAATCTGAATCTGGCCAAGATTGTGGCGCTACTCCCCACGGGCTCCGTTAGCATTTAGCCTAACCATCTCCTTTACTGCTAAATGCTAACACACTCGGGCGCATTACATACCTCACAGTAAACTCAGATCCGATCGTTTCAATCTGCAAAAGGATTTAACCCCTCCCACCTGTTCTCAATGGAGCAAATCCAGACCTTAGTATGAAATGTAATTTGTACTAAGGTGTGGTACAACCAGGCTTCAACTCAAACCTCCGGAAGAGCTTCTCCCAGGTCCCGGCTGAGGAGGGGGACATTGAGTCTGAGTGGACCATGTTCTCTTCCTCTATCGCAGATGCGGCAGCTCGTAGCTGTGGTCGCAAGGTCTCTGGTGCTGGTCCCGGCGGCAATCCCCGAACCCAGGGGTGGACACTGGCAGTAAAGCCTAGCGTACATCGACATAGAAACTGGGGACAACTAGTTGAAAGGCGGCTTTTGGCAACTGAGAGGAGATGGTGGGAGATGATCAGTTGCCGAAATCGGTCGATGTGCGCGCTCTTACAACTGGAGATGATCAGTCGGTCTCCAGTTTCAGTCAGTTGCCCGTGTTCTACTTTTCGGCAACTAGTTGTCCTCAGTTTCGGAGATATGACCCGATGTGCGCGCTCCATGCGCCGCTCCGACAACTTGTGTGTATTGCGTGTGTTGCGAGCCCGCAACAGTTTATGTCAGAAAACACACTGTAGTTGAGGCCAGTTGCTGTCGATGTACGCGCTGTTATTCCCGAGACTGGTCTGCTACTGGGAGTTGCCCGTTTTCGTCAGATTGTCGATGTGTGCGGGGCAGCAACTCATATGCGACGGATATAATCAGTTGCCAGTCCGATGTACGCTAAGCTTAAGGGATGCCGTCAGGCTGACATACTTGTAATAATGTACTTTTGAACAAAACATCACGGAGGTCCAGAGAAAGGGGTCATAGGTTCCTGCTTATTGGGCAACTCATTCTATCTGACCAGATTGTTCACAGGCCCAAACTGCCTGACTATGGAGGCTGGCCCTTCCCATCCCAGAGCTAACCTGGCAGAGAACTTCTCACTAGCCTTGGAGAGTGGATGAGCACAAACTCAGACCTTGTCACCTGCCTCAAACTCCACTTATTTTCTATGGGAGTTGTAGTATTTAACTTGGCAAACCTGGTGTACCCCCATCCTTTTCCGTACCTCTTCCCCTAGTTTTTGTCGCTCGACCGCATCTTAAGAGTCTTTTTACATAGGGCTGGGTGGTTTGTGAATGAGCCTTGGTAACGGACCACGAAGCTACTGACCTAGAGCCAGCTCTGCCAGTCCTGCCTGTGGTTTCCTGCTGGGCAGTGTTGATTGCAAAACTAATCTCTTGCAGCCACTGGTCCCACATCTCATGGGAGGGTCCCACAAAAGGACGCAATCATCGTTTTGATGGTCCTATTGAACCGTTCAGTGAGGTTAGTTTGAGGGTGGTAACTGGTGGTGAGTTTCTGTATCACACCCCACGCTTTACAGAGGTCAGTCAAGAGGCCGGCTGTAAATTGAGGACCTCGGTCTGTGACGAGAAATTTGGGGACACCCCAACGAGTGAAGATCTCTTTTCGATACAGAAAATGTTGCTCTCCCGTAGTGGGAATTCCTCCACCCATTTGGAATAGTAGTCAACCACCACCGCCAGATAAGTTTCCATTTTAGCTTCGGGGAAATGGGCCCAAGTTAGATCGATGCCCAGAATCTCTCCTAGACTGGAGATGCTTGGTGTCCGGTTTATAGAGCTGACCGCTCTCACAGGCCTTTGTGTGTTCCCATACATCTTTGCGTTCCCATACATCTTTGCGTACACTAGGCCACCAGGCAACCTACAGCACTCTCAGCAGGGTCTTCAGCCTTCCAAGATGCCCACCTAGAGGGTTGTCATGGAAAAACTGGAGGAACTCTGGGGCTAGGAATTGAGGAACAATGAGCTGGTACTTTTCTCCACACTTTATTGGAACTTGGCGATAGATCACGCCTTGATGTTAAACAAAAGTAATCTGATTAGTTTGGTCTGTCCTGCATTACTGAGTGTCAGGTCACAGATAAACAGGTCTTTTGTTTGTGCTTTGGCAATCTCATCTAGGGTGGTTGGCAGATTTTTGCTGTGTTTCCACCCAGCGAGCGCTAAACAGTGAGTGTTCTTAGAGCGTGTGTCACAGGATCGTGACAGTGCATCTCGTGCAGTGTTAAGGCACCCTTTGTGATAGTGCACTCTGAAGGTGAACTGTTGCAATCGCAGGATCCAGCGAGTGAGACGAGAGGACGTCTTTGGGCAATTGAAAGCCCAGGCCAGAGCAGCATGGTCAGTGAAGACATCAAAATG